ACAATGGAACGTAAATCACAGGTGAAACATAAAATTTTTTATTAATCTTTGTATTTAGTACAACAGATCATCAGTGTAAGTCCTAGAGTTCAGCAAATAGTTAATGTTTTGTGTGTCCCCCTTTTGCTTTAATAACTGCAGACAGTCTTTTAGGCATTTTTGCAGCATATTTAATCAAATTGTCCTTTGGGATATTACTCCAAATGTCTCTAATACACTCCCATAAAATTTCTTTCAAAGTAACTTTTGATTTCTCAAGTTTTTGATCTATCAAGTCCCAGATCTGCTCATTTGGTTTGAGATCGTGGCTCTGTGGGGGCCTTTGCATCATTTGAATGACTCCAGCACCTTCTTTCTTAGCTAAATAATTTCTGCATAGGTTGGATAAGTGTTTGGGGTCGTTATCTTCTTGATAATAGAATCCTTTACCAATAATATGTAAACCACTGGGTATACCGTGACAGATCAGTATCTGATGTTACTTGCACTGGTCCATTATTCCATCTATTTTGTACATATCTCCTGTCGTCTCAGCAGAAAAATACTCCAAAACCATCACACTGCCACCCCCATGCTTTATGGTAAGTGCTATATGTTGAGGTAAGTATCTTTCACCTTTCTTCCACCACACATACAACCTACGCTTTGAACAAATATTTCGAACTTGGACTCATCCATCCATAACACCCTTTTCCAATCATCAACAGTCCAATTTTTGTACTTTTTAGCAAATTTAAGTCTCTACAATATTTGGAGATCAACGTAAAGGTTTTTTAACTGCTACACAACCAAATATTCCATTCTTGTTGAGTCTTTTTGATACTGTAGATCTGGACACTTTTCTATCATTTGGTACATGGTCATTTATCTCATGCGTGAGATCAGTGACAGTCTTCCTTCTGTCCCGAAAGCTGCATAAACAAAGATACTTAACATCAGTATCATTGAGTCTAGGTGTTCTGCCTTTTCCTTTCCTGTTTTCAAATTTTCCTGTCTCGGTATCACGACCTAGAATGTACTTGACAGAGTTTGGGGAGAATTCCAAGTCTGCAGCAATTTGTCAGAGAGCCCAACCAGCATCACATAAAGTTTTTATGCAAACTCTTTGCTCTACTGACAATTCTTTGTGCTATTTGGGCCGTGGCATGACAACAGAACTTAATATACAGTATCAAACACTGTTTTTATCAAGATTTATTTGTGGAGTGCAATTGAACTGATTTGTTCTAGCATATACCAAACCATATGCTAGCTTCTTTATATTTAGTTAAGACAGTGCATGGAGTACTATGACAGTTATTTCAGACTCTAAATTTGATCAGTATGTTCATTCAAGCAGAACCATTATGACATGCCCTTGGTACAAGTATATGGGAATTCTAAAGAATATGTATTCTCACTCTGGCTCATTCAGTTGTCAACAGGGATCAGTGAAGCTTTACCATAGTGTTGAAATTTACATTCTGTAATAGCATGGAAGAATTAGCCCCATAAAATGGAAAGAATGTCAAAATATTTTCTTGTGCTTACAAATTGTTATTTATTAATTTACTACTAGTTTCCCTAAACATCACGCCCATTCTTTGTTTTGCCACTGGTAATCATAGTAGCAACAATAAGCACAATCAAAACAACAGTCTCAACAGAGGATCAAGGGTCTCACTTTATCATATGGCACATTCCCTTTAAGCGTCTGCAATGAACATTCACTTATGCAGAACTATTACCTCCACCTTCCAATTAAAAAAGTTGTGATATTTCAAAAAACATTAATGAAGTTACTATTTAATACTATACTGTAATGTAATAAGGTAGTTGCTCACACTGCAGCAAATTTTTATTATGTATGGCCACATCTATTATCCAATCTAAAGAGATCCAATATTTAAACAAAACTAATGTATGTCCCATCCATATCTTAGATATTCAGAAAAGATTGGCCCATTTCTTACTATTTTCTTTCTCTATCCACTTTTTCTGGGTTCCTGGCCATGTTATTATCCAAGGAAAAAAGCTTGCACTGGTAACATAATTGTTTGTCTATTGTACATATAGAATTTGAACCAATCATTGAGTCAAGGACTTAAAGACCATTAAATCATCATCCAAAAAAACGTCATTGGCAAGATCCCGTTGAAGGTTGTAACTGTAATATGTTTCTATCAGATTTAACTGCTGCTATTGTTATCATAGATAATTATAATGGTGAAAGAAAAACATTTTCTAATGATATTCTTGTATACAGCCGAGGCAACAGAAACTGAAATTGAAAGGTAGATGCAGCCATCACTTAGCATGGTGAGCCAATAATGTACTAACACAAGAATGATTATCAACCCTACCACAACTATGCTCTTCACACTCAACAACATGCATGCTGATAAGCACAAACCATCACCATCCTTTGCAGGCATTGTTTTTCTCCTGGAAGAAACACTAAGTGTCTGGGAATAACCATTGGAAAACAACTAAGCTTTACCATTCATATGAATGCAATGATAATCAGGGCTGCCAAAGGCATTGATAAACTGAAATTTCCAGCAGGAAACGGAGCTCTACCAAAGACATGTCCACTTTATTCTGGAATACACAATACCAATGATTAGTATGAGTGTTCCATAAGTAGATAAGATTGGAAAACTACAAAACTCATATTTAAGGCTGGTCACAAGGTGTACTTTAGTCCTCTTACACCTTACAAGCATCAGCAGCATCACAGAGCACCTACAGTACTTAGAAACCAAATTCTTGACTAGGGTCTTGCAGTATAAAGACTGCATTCCATTATCAAGACATTGCCCTTTTCAACTGGAACATTTCAAAGCTAAAAAACACCTCAGGTGAACAGTTGTCTCAGGACAGATGCTATAAATCTACTCACTTAGATAATTGGTCAACACTAGATCACAAACACTCCCATAATAAATATACATCTGGCACCACTGGGATCTGTGGAAGTCAGTGTAGACAGAAAATATAGATATTGGACAAAGGATGAAGCAGAAGAAGTCCATGAGTACCTAACTGAAGACCATGGTGGACAGTCATCTGGCAAAATAGCCACAGATGATTCCTACACCAGCAAGAACTGGTTGAGTATTGAAGCTTCTCACAGGAAATACAAGGATGAAGCTAGAAACCAGAAAACAAGCTTTTCTATGGACGAATGAAAGCAGTGATCTACACATAGATGGCAGTACTGCATAAAACTCAGAGTTTTCATTGATGGCTTAAAGCAAAGCAACTTCATGGTGAAACCATCACCTAGACAAAAGTGCCATGCTGAAGTAAAAGCTAAATGAAAATGTTAACAATTTTGCAAGAGAAGCTTTTATATCAAATCTGGCACAATTCTACTGGCATGCTGTCAATCTCCAGTAAAGTAGTAAGTAGAAAATGGCATACATGGAAGGTTTTCATTAACATTCAGAGGAAATGAGACTGGTGACAAATGGTGGAGCTAGGAAAAGCAAAAGATAAGGAATTAGTTGGACAATTTATAGTCAGAATCCCACTGGTAACTCTCTTCTATCTCCTGTGAGGCACCCATTCACCAACAAGACACTTGGGATTTTCACCTAGTACAAGGCCATCTAGTTTGCACATGAATCAGAGAGAGTAAGCTGTTCCTGTAAGGCTTTGCACTGGTTACAATTTCCTAACACATCACTTTCTTTTGAAACTGAATGACCCATGAGTGTGTGAGCAGTATGTTATTAAAGTCAGGGTTGCTCTCCTATTACTTTCATGCTATCACTTTAACATTTAGTAACTGCATTAATTTAAACATATTTTAACTCGTGGTGAATCTGATATACTCTTGCTTGCAACAAGAGCAAGTTTAAGGATAAGTCATATTTCATGTTTTCGTTTGTAATACATTGTCTTGCATCTAAAAAAAATACTGCAAGTGACAACATCCTTGTTTAAAGATACATCTTAATTGTATGTGTGAGTACACTATGAACAAGTGTGCACAACTGGTTTTTAACATACAAAACTTGTATAAACATAAGGCACAGCCCGACTAATCCTAATTTTGTTATAAGTAGAAGGATTAGAGAGAAATGAATCATAGTTGAATAACATCACTTAAAGTAGGATACATAAACTAGTCTCCCAGTTGAAGCAATTTATTGAAAACTTGTGAGTTTCTTAAATTGGTGGTTATGAAGTTTTGTTTGTTCAGATAGTCTGAGATATCTATTAAATAGGCAGGAAAGCTGTTTTTTGTATAAGAATTTCTTGATGTTATCAAATTATTTGTGTAAGAATTCACAAGTGCTTCATACATTATGTGCATGTTGAAGTAAGATCTTAATTATGTTTTCCTAGATCAGTATAGTTATGTTGCTTGTAAGGTTGAAATGCAAGCCAATAAATGTTCTGTTATGGTAAAACTTTACACTTGAAGTTATTATAATAATTATGATTTAATATTCTTAAAAAAAAATACAAAGTTTATGATCTTGCTAGTATCATACATTGGATTGAATAATTTGTATTCATTATGTAAATAGTTTGGAATTGATGGACATGGCCAGAATCCGTTTAGTAAAAGTAATACTTCATACCAATTATAGTGTACTGGTTGAAAATATGGTAGTCACACATCTAACCATTGTTTTTCATTAAAGCAAAGAATCTAGAGCCCATCAATATGACCATAGGGATTATTGTCAAACAAAACGAGATTCTTTGGTAAAAAAATTCATTAATTTCCTAAACACATATTTTGGAATTCTTAATAGATGGTAGTTTTACAAGCAAAAGACAAATCCATTATTAAACATTAGCAATATGTAGATACACATATTTCTTATGAATTGAAAAATAAGTAGCTTAATTGTTGTGTGAATCTATCTTGTAGGTTGAACAGATCATGCAGAATTTGTTTCTTATTTTATTTTAATGTTTCTTCATACATACACTGTTTAAGACTGTGGTACATGTAGGTAGATTTTCTAAAGTGATTATTTTTTCTTTTTTTTTTTAAACAGGAGATACCTTGGAACGTTTGAATGGTTATGGTATGTCTAACAAGAAGAAGAACTTCCTTAGTCAGTATTTACTTCCCTCTACACCTAGGTCTCGCTCCCAAATATCCATCAGTCTTCCAGAGGACTTTCGCCAAGTTTCTTCTATTATTGATGTTGATGTAGTGCCTGAAACCTGTCGTAGAGTTCGGCTGGTTAAACATGGTTCTGACAGACCTTTAGGATTCTACATTCGTGATGGAACTAGTGTGCATGTTACTTCTTATGGCCTAGAAAAAGTCCCAGGGATTTTCATCTCCCGTTTGGTTCCTGGTGGTCTGGCAGAAAGTACAGGGCTTTTAGCTGTGAATGATGAAGTGTTGGAAGTGAATGGAATTGAAGTGGCAGGAAAAACTTTAGATCAAGTTACAGATATGATGGTAGCTAACTCTTCCAATCTAATAATTACCATCAGACCCACCAGTCAAACTGGTAATCCCATCTCTTCACGTAGTGCTTTTGATCGATTATCTCATCAATCACAGGGCTCTCAACCCTCCAACAACTACCAAATAAGTGATGATGAGCAAGGTGAAGAAGATGAGATTAGAGATCATACAGGTTGCAAGTTCCCTGAAGAAATGATTAATAATAAAAACATGAGTGATGACACCATCATAACTTTGTAGAGTTAAAAAGACTAAAAAAACAGAATTACAAGAAGTATGACCAAAACAGTGTACAGTGTTCCATGCATTCAGACTTTTTACTTGTGTGATAAGCCATACTGTTTGTATACAATTTATCGTGTAAGTCTTGTTAGACAAGATCCATTAGGTAATTTGTATAAATTTTTAAAATTGAACTATTTGGGTATGTTCTTTGTTTTTGTTTTCTTTTAATAGTAGCTTTCATGTGTATTTTAAGTTTTCTTGATTCATCAATATATAACTATGTTTTCATTTCAAGGATGTACATAAAATTGGTTGACACAGATTTATATACTAAATAATATTCCTAAGAAAAACATCGTGGGATTTAAAGAATAAATTTTGTTTTAAGATTTTTTAACAAAGTAGTGTTTAATTTTTACATTGTGTTTTAACTTGACTTACAGTATAGTCTGGTGTTTTTTGACATTCAGTGAATTTGCCACTGTTAGTTTACCAGGGCTTTGTTTTTCTTGTGGTTTTCATTCCTTAACAACTAATTTTCCCGAAAAAAATAATAATGTAAAACTTTTTTGACTGACTCTTTAAAAGAACTACTCTTAATAAAATCCCAAAATAATCAGCTGAAACAAGGTAGCTTAATGGTGATGTTAACCGACAATATTAAACATGATAATACAGTTTAGAGAAGAATACAGTGGTCATTTGACATGAGTTACTTATTTGTATGCTGCATAAGTGTAAGATGGTATCAGAATGTTACATTCCAAAGGAAATTAACTTTGCTTGATGAATTTCATCTTTTCAGTTGGCTTTCCCAATCAAGAATGCATGGTCCATCCATATTCTTTTAGTTATGACCAGTGAAAGTGAGCATATTGCATGGATTAAATGAAAAAACAACTCTTGAAGAAATGCAACTTTTTATGGGGGAATGTAATTTTCCTGACAGTTTCCTTTGAGTGAATGTTATTTTATTTCATTATTTCTATCCCTGGTAAGCACAAGAGTGCATTTTTTTTTATGGTGACATATAAAAAATAGCAGCTTTTTTGATACTTTTAATTCTCTTTCTTATCTACTTATCCAGTTTTATTAGATTTAAGAATGTGTACAAAAACCACAATAGCAAAGATCTAGTTGTAAAAATGTTTTTACACTTCCATGTGGTAAACTGAAACAGTTGTTAATTTATATATGTTCTACCCATAACCTTACATGCATGTAACACTGAACATACAGTAAGTTATGTTTACTTTGCAACTCATAATTTCTATAGTTATATATCTTCAGTGAGATAATTTACAATCTACTTGGTAGTGTACAAGATATTTTAATCAGGTTTTAATTCAGTTGTGTTGTTATGTAGCTTTATCTGGCTTATTTGAAGATTTATTTACATTTGTAATAGAATATTTACATGAAATTGAAAAAAAAACTAACTAGAAATTATGAGTTTTTCAGAATGCTTTGATTTATAAATTTATTACATTGTTTTCATTTGTCTAAAGTAAAAGTCCAATGTTACAAGTATGAGCAATAAAACTCAGTCATAGCAATATTAATGTTGTATGTATGTCAAGTAATTTTGGTATGGTAGTTGTAAATTTGTTTTATCATTCAGTATTTTCAACATAAAAGTACATTTTTTAAGTGTTTAATTGCTTGTATTTTTGGATAGTTGTATAAGAATCTGATGTATAGTATGTTGTTTGGCAAATATTGGTTATTTTAGTGGTAGGTAGTTTTGGTGACTGATCACTGAACATCTTTAACATTAACTAATTAATGTATACTTTTATAGCAAATGCACTTTAGTAATGTTTACTATCTTAGTTGAGTTGGTACAGTGTTGTGAATATGAATATGTATTTTTGAACAGAATATTTATCATTGCAGTTGAGGTAATCGAATATCTGGAATTTAGTGAACCAGTAAATTATGGCATAGTTTTAAAGTGATTTCCAGTCATATAGTTTACAAAACACATATTCATTGAAATTTATATGAACTTTTGTCATGAATGTTTGCATTGCTTTTATTTTGCTTCCTAATAGTGTGTGTGTTATGAATATGAGAACTGCTTTGTTTCCTAATGCATTGTGTTACCAGTGAATGACCTGTTTTATAATTTCAACGTTAGGTAAGATGGTATATTGTTTTACCCCTGAAACTGTTTTCAAAAGGTAGTCACTTGTGAAATTAATAATCACTGGCCATCTGTGTATGTGTGTCATCCACTTGGTCTTTCACTTTGACCTATCATTGGTTTTCTGCCCTGCACACTATAATTTATCTTGATTTGAGACTTTCTTCATCTACACAATTACTAGTTCAGTATAGTATTTCTGATACAGAAATCATAAGACAGTTTTCGTAAATATAAATGTTTTCATGCGTGAAGGTAATAAAATATTTGAGTGTATACAAAATATTTTCATTAATACTTTAGTAAACAGTGAGAGTATTTACATACTAAAAATTCAAACATTCTATTGTATAGATTTCAATATTACTATTGCTTACATATTCTACAGCTATGAGTACATGTTTGTGTTAAGGTATAATAGCTAAAAGTAATGTTAATTTATTGGAATATTCACTGTTTTTATACAGAATGCAGCAATAAAACAATAGTTACATGAGAGTACTAATAGTTAACGTTTCTATCAACCTATTTTTTTAATATTGTTATTTTTTTTGTGTGAAATGAGTTGGTAGTGTTGTGTGAATCATCATATTAGTTGTTATCTGTTTACCAAAGTTTCATTTTTATACCAATTTTTAATAAATACATGTTTTAAAACCTTAAGTGCATTTTATTCTGAATACATTAGAAAAGTGCAAGCTGAAATTTTATTAAACATATTACATATAGATGGTACATAAAAAGTGACAAGTACCACTGTGTAAATTTGAAAATGAGTTCTGCAATATACATGTAATATTCAACCACTTACATTGTCTGATAATGAGTAAAACACATAATGACATACCTGCTAATGAATGGGAAAAGTTCTTTTGTTACACTTTTCATTGAAAGTTTTCTTGGGAATTATAAAAAATTACCACAATAAGCTGGTAAAATAGTAAACATATTCAAAACAGTCACACTTACTATGAAATATAAGCCTTTCATTGCTGAGTTGCTTTCATGTTCAAACATGTGACTAAAGTTCTGAATGTCCTTGACACAATAAAGAGCTTATATCAACTTACCCATAGTTTTCCGCTCTCCCACCTTCCACATTATTGATTGCTCTTTCTTGAGGAAGATGTATATAATTTCTGCTTTCTTGCTGTAATCCTGATTTTTTTGTTGACAGTCAACTGTTAACTTTGCTGCAGTGAACTTGGAAGTCACCATTAATGTGATGCAAGTATTTCCAACAATTTCAGAATGTCTGCAACTTTTTTTGGAGGCCTTAATCACAAAGTCTGCCTGCAGCTCTTATTTGCATTAACATCCCTCATTGACCAACACATTTGAGCCATTCATACTGCATTGTCTTTGTAGATGTTTCACCCAAACTGATTTCCCATTCAGAAGAAATATGCCAACAGTTGTTGATTAGGATTTTAACATCTCATTTTCCTTCAGGTTGTCATCCAGTAAGATGACCAGTAAGCAATATTTGCCTGTCTTACCTTCATTGTCTATTTCTCAGTTAATGCCTGCTATGTCTGCTTTTAACTTTCTACCTTTTTGAGTGGCCTAACATTAGGTGAGGTGGGGCTTTTAAACCAACTTATTTACAATGTGTCATTCTGAACAACTTCATATAGACTCAGATTTGACAGATCCTTCAGCTCAGTCGTTACTTTCACAATGTCCTCCTTTTTTTCCTTCAGATCTTGTTTGCTTAAAACTTCTGGATCAGAAAATATCAGATACTCTTTGTAAAAGAGCAGTAGAAATTGTTGATTGCACTTCACATTTTTACTCCTGTCTCTCTGTAGTTCTTAAGAAAATGGAAAATTGAATACCTGTCTCAGCTTGGGTCTTATCTGGATGATCTCATTTCAAAATGGAAAACACGATGTTATGAAAGTATCTTTGTCAAAGCCATTGGATGACTGAGATGGATATAACATATGTATATATACCGTATTTTTCGGTGAATAAGACACTTTTTACCCCAAAATTTGATGTCAAAATTTGCTTGTGTCCTATACACCAAAGGTATGAATAATATATATATATACGATACACACAAGCCATGTGTAAATATATTTAAATAGGCATGCATAGTTTAGTTCAATTGAATGTGTTAGTAGTTGTTTTTTTTAAACATAACTATTTATAATGTTCCCTAAATAATAAAAAATAAATTGCAGTGAAAGCAATGAAGATTTTGTAGGTTTTGAACCAAGCTAAATAACAGTAATTTTTAAAGTATCAAATTGAATTTTTGTTCAATAAAAAATGTTTCAAATGTGACTGTAGCTTTTTTTTCCCTCAAAACTTTGTGTTCAAAATAAGGATGCCTCTTATATTCCAAAAGATATGGTATGTATATACAGGATGCTTTTTATCCTTATCCATCTGTCATCACATCATGTTCTTCATTTTTGCCTTCAGAGAGCTCTTTATTAGTTCATTGTCCTTTCCTTCAGCTTGATCTCAGGTCCATACTTTTTCTGTCAAGTAGTTAAAAGTCTATATGGAGATTTGTGTTTATATAAGCAATTGACTTATTCTGATCCTTTATTCCACTCACTCTTATACACACTAATTTGATCACCCAACTGGCCAGATCTCTTGGGTGAATCATCCACAACGTCAAACTTAGTTCCAACACAGTATTTGGTACATCTGAGATTTTGTATCAACATAGTTCATGGAACACTTAAGTCATCTCCTATAGCTTTGCATGCCTTGGAGTCTCATGTTCATCCTCTTCTATCTCTCATACCTACTGCAAAAGACATCCTTTGGCTTCACTTCAAATAATTAGTTATTCCCTTAGGGCATACTCATGTGTTACCTCCATTGGGGCTTTACTTCTCATTAGTGTCTGATTTTAGACCTGTTATAACAAAAAGCAGGATCTTCTTTTTTACTCTTCCTTTTGATGTATATCTTTTCACAGGTGAATACCCCAAGGGCTAGAGCACGTCATTGAGGAATCCACATCTCTATGGTTCTTGGACTTTTGAAGCAATGTCTCCCATCAATGTGTTAGAAGTTTGGGCTGTTCAACATGCATGTTTCAAAATTGTGACTGTTACTCATTTTTTCATAGCCTTTGTTTTGTTGCAGTTTCTCTACTTTGGCTTCATTCTCAACATGTTCACTTTTGAGCTTGTCACAATACCATTGTGATGTACATTTTGTCTTTCTCAAAGTCATTGCCTTTTTCACTCAGAGTGGGTCCTTTATCTTTTGATTTTTTTAGTGGCTTTGCAAACTTGGGTCATTCAATGATTGATACCTTTTCTATATTGAATGAATATCCTGTTCAACTCTACTGACTTTCAGTTCCATATCCAAATATTATGGCAGTTATGAACCAAGTCGTTCTAGAGAACTTATTTATGCATGCACTCCACTCTGACTTCTTCCTGAGGTCCTGGCCCAGATTAGTTATTCAAATTGTCAGTTTCCCCCTCATTGCTCCACTTTGGATTGTTCAACTATGATTTATCATATGTAAATTTTTCACAATGTCATTTAATGCCTATGACTTCACAGCTGGCTGTTGTTTAGTCCTTTGTTTGAGAAGCCAGATTCTCTTTATGTATGGCCCAAATATGAACCCATTTTTGCAGATGTTCTGTACTTGCTGATTGTCAGTATCAATGACCATCTTCTAGATTTGGCACACAAAATATGTTTTGTGTATCTCCAACCCCTGAATAAATTGCTTCTTTCTTAATGTATTTGTTTCATAAATGTGGCTTATGATCTTCTTCCATAGCTGGTTACAGATTTACCCTATCTGTCACTTTTAGATGCCATCAATCCCTTTTGTCCACGTTATTCAAATACCTCTTCAACAGCTTCCATCTTTAGTGACCCTAATTCCTAGGCATTGTCCTAAATAGAACTTGAGCTTGGTATTATTTTTCTTGGCTTTACCCCTCATTTGAATATTTAAAGACATGTTTGCTGTATTACATTTTCTTTTATTACTGTCATCAGGTGGATGGCATTTTCATATCCATGCCCTCAGTGCTTCACATACCTTATTTTCATGGAAAGCCTTGTACTCATACCCATATTGTACCTTCCTACCTAAAACACTTGGGTTGTGAGAGTAGGTAACTACTATTTTCATCTTTTATGTTACCTATCCTTAATGAATCTGATTCTCAGTCATAAGAATGCTTGAGATACCCTTTCAGAACTATATTGTTCTTATCTCACAAGTACTGAATCTTTCAGGGGGTGTCAGAAAGGTTATTTATATCTTAAATAAATCACTCTTCTATATCTTGCTCTAGTTACTTTAGCAAATTTACTTATGCAATTGATCCTTCTTTTTAATAGAATGTTCCTGTACATTTTAAAAGTTAATTGTGGCTGACATTTCACCAACTTTGCTATTTGGTTATGACTTTGGTATTATGGTCATCTTACCTCTCAGAGAATATTCAGCAAGTCAGAGTGTGGATGATTTTGAATAAGTTTGTAAAATTTTATTTATATAACTATTTCTCTGGTTGTGATTCAAGCAATGTGGAATCCCTTACAGATGAGTTATTCTCTATTAACTATTTAGTTAACGATTGGGTCCACACCTCTGTTGTGCATGGTAATTCAAATATTGCTATAATTTAAAAAATTACTGGGGAATCTGAAGTTGTGAAATCATTTGACTGAAAAAAAAAATCGTGGTATCCTTATAATATGAGACTGTTTTTAATTTAGTTCATCCAGTCATAACTCCTACATGCAAAACATACATCTGTGATTGTCCTAGACAAAATTTCACCCTTTTTGCAGGTACTCCATGAGATGTTGATACCCACTGGAAGTAGCAAAAAGATGCCAGCTGGTGGGTGATAAATATCTTTCCCACATTCATGTGCATATTTTTGCATAGCAATCAAGACATCAGAGACAAAATGTTTCAAAGTAATAAAAAACAATAGTGCAAAAATTGATACCTTGATTATTAATTTATATTATTCTTTTTTATTTTTACTGAAATTTTGTCAGATATCATGTTCATGCAATGAAAATTCACAAACTCATTACATAAGAACAATTTGTGCTGCCATCTAGTGAACAGAAATGAAACGTATTTATGAACATGGAAATAATATCTTCTTATGACTTAACTCACTGCTAAGTAACAGTTTTCCATTTCATAGTTCCCCACAAAAATGTGTGGTAGAAGAACAGAATAATATTACTGTTACATAAGCTGTGAAATACTTGATAATGGCAATTAGGTGCTCAAATAAGGCTACAACTCTACTTTAGCAGTTATTTGTAAGCATCATAGAGTAATGGATTGAATGTGGCAGCCATTTTTTTCTCAGCCCATCCCTACATACCACACACTACTATAGTTAGTTATAGTTCCAACCAGGATAGGGAACACTTAATGCTTTCTTTTTCTTAGTCTATGTTGTATTCTTATTGTATTGTACTCGAGTTGTAGAACTGATTCTAAGATCTGTCTGGGTCTTTTTGGTACTACCAGAATGCCTGCTGCATGAGCCAACTTTATGATTTTGGACATATACATGGGTGGATTAAGGGTCAGACAGGCCTGGGGCTAAATTTTACTACCCAGCCTATTAACACTACAACTAAAGACTTCTTAGTCTTAGTTCCTCCCATTCCATT